TTAAACTACTTGGTCTCTCTGGGTAGCTGGCTGTGACCAAGCAGTGACCACAGCCTTGCCCCTTGTCAGCTCTACTATACACCTGGGAATTCTGATCATTCACATAAACTTATAGGACCATTGTCTGCCAACCCTATCTTGTTCTTGGATACACTCCCCATTTCATAGACATACCTAATCTTTCAGCCTGTCCAGCCATCTATCTACCCATATACCCATGTTAGCCTTCACTGACAACACAGTACTGTACTGTATGTGTAAAAGGGTTCATCTTTGTTGTCTGTACCTCCCATGTACCTCACTATATCTTTTCTCATCCTCAGTGCCGCCATATTGGTCACTAACATTTGGTACATTGCCCTTCTCTTCATCCAAATCAGTACTTATCTCTGTCTGTCTAACAGCATTCCCTCCCCTCCCCTCCCACCCCTGGTAACCAACAAAGAACATTTCCTTCTATAAATAAACCTTTCCTTAACTTTTACAATAATGGACTAATACAATATTTGTCCTTTTGTGATTGACTTATTTCACTCAGCATAATGTCCTCCAAGTTCATCCACATTATTAACAATTCTTTTTTAGGATATTAGTTTATTTTTTCCCATAATTTTGTTAAGCATTTCCTTGTTTAATGTCAGTTTCCAACTCTTAGTTAAAATCATTACCTTTACTGTATTATAAAACATGGTCATTAAATTGACTAGCATTAGCTTCCCAACTAATTTCTCAGTTTTCTTGTACTATAACTGTCCTAAAGTCCATTCTCTGCATAATAGCCAGAATTGCCTTTTAAAAAATGATTTTGCTTCTGTAGGCATCCTTTTCCACTTAGAATAAAATTTGAGCTCCATAGTGTGGCCTTTAAGTCTTTGCACACTGTGGCCGGTAGCACATTTTATATCACTTTCCTCTCTTTTTCTTTTCCTTAAGCATGCTAATTATTAGGGCCTTTACACAGGCTAAGGAATCTGATGGCGTAGTGGATAAGGCATTACGCATTGGCTGTTCACCAGAAGGTCGGCAGTTCAAACCCACCAGCTGCTCTGTGGGAAGAAGACAGGGCAGTCTACTTCCATAAAGATTTATAGCCTTGGATACCCTATGGGGGTCACTATAAGTTGGAGTGAGCTTCATGGCAATGGGTTTGGTTTTTTTTTTTTTGGTTTTACACAGGCTGTTGCCTCAACTGGGGAGGAATGCTCTTTCCCAAAATTTCCTGTGCTAGTTTCACACTCAACTCAGATGTCACCATCTCAGAAAAGTCTTCTCTCTCAATCCCATCCACTGTAGTTGCTCATCCACAAAACACACTCCTTTCAACACTCTTGACACCATCCTATATTATCTTTTTTATAGCACCTGTCACTCTTTGAAATGATTTTGTATATTAACCTGATTACTTGGTTATTGTTTTTCCATCCCTATAAAGAAGATATATTCCATGAGAATAGGTACTATGTCTGTTTTATTTACTACTGTATCAAAAATGCTCAGCAGAACATCTTACTTTTATAGTAGACTTCCTATGAATATTGGTTGAAAGAATAAATAGTATAATTCCTTTACTGTCTTTATAATTAAATGTCCCATGTAACTTTGAAATATCCAAGGCTGTGTGCTGTTAGCATATAGGTTTCTGTTGTAAATCTTGTTTATTCTTTTAAGCTAATCACATTTTAACGAAAATCATGATTATTGATCTTATGCTCTCGATTCTGAAATGCAGATGCAAAACAAAAAAGCTCTGATGGAGAATTTGTACCTCACACACGTCCACGTAGTAACACTCTTCCAAAAAGCTTTGGCTCTTCTCTAGACCATGAAGATGAAGAAAATGAAGATGAATCCAGGGTCATTCAGAAAGAGAAGAGGCCATCCAAGGAAGCAACGCTTGAACTTATTCTAAAAAGACTGAAAGAAAAACGTGTTGAGAGGTGTCTTCCAGAAGATATCAAAGTAATCTTAAACTATGGTTTTTGCCCAGGCTAGTCTGTAGAATAGCCCTGCTACACACCTTTTCCATTATTCAGTAAAGCCCATGCCTACTGCAATTGTGGTCAAAGCACTTGTCAACCTAATGGTTTATTAGATGAAATTGGCTGGGAGAGCAGAGAGGTATATGGTCTCAGGAGAATTTTTTCCAGGTAGTGATGAGTTTTGATGTGCATTCCTATTGTGCCAACAGAGTATACCTCTCTCACGATCTAAATATTAAGATTCTTTCTCTCCCTTGGATAGAGATGAATTAGTAATTCTAGTACCCTGCCTTGACTTTTTTTTTTTAATTTCATGTTAGAATAACTCCTTTACCCATCTCATCATCCTCTTTTTCCTATAAATAATTTTGATTAGATTAGCTTTGTTCAGATTCCTTATTAAATGTTTGTTTCAAGCTTGAAGTTATGTAAATCAGTGTTTTAACAGGGACTACATCCAGCCACCAGTGATTTTTCAAAAAAATTTTTACCTCTAATTTCACTCTGGAAAGAGATGGGTGGTATTAACTCAAAGTTCTGGGACTAAGTAGAAGGTTGATTTGGTGTACTGTTGGAGAGTATTCTGTCTATCTAACAGCGAACAGGAATGTTGGTTTGTTGAAATGTTAATAGGTAATCCTGTGGAACAAAGTGGGGAGGTTCTGTAAGCAAATAAGTTTAGGAAGTCCTCCTTACTATACCATTTAGAATATGAAAATATGTGAGAAGAGTATTTCACTGTAAAGAAAGTACCAACCCAAATAGATGAAGGGAAACTGAAGTCCTTGAATAGAATTCTAAGGCTACAGATTGACATTGCTGAGCTTTTTCTAGGATCTTTCTACTGTTCTAAGGAGCTCTGGTGGTATAGTGGTTAAAGCATTTTCCTGCTGAAAAATGGTTGGTGGTTTAAACCTACCAGGTGTTCCATAGGAGGCAGTCTATAATGATTTATAGCCTATTGGAAACCCTCTTGGGCAGTTCTACTCTGGCATATAGGGTCACTATGAGTAGGAATCAACTTGATTGCAGTGGGTTTGGTGCCCCCTCCCCCCCACTATACTGCTGCCAGATTTTCTTAGTAGTTTAGGAGAAATACTGGATTATAAAACCATGTATATTTTGTGTACATGTATATATCCATTAGTCTTGGTGCTAATGAAAGACTGACATTAAATAAAATAATAAGCATGTGTTATTTTATGTGTGCTAGGCACAGTTTTAAGGAGCTCTGGTAACATAGTGCCTAAGGCACTTGTCTGCTAACCAGATGGCTGGTGATTCAAACCCACCAGCCACTCCTTGGAAGAAAGGTTGGGCAGTCTACTTCCACAGTGATACTGCCTGGAAAATACAAGGAGGGGTCGCTATGAGTCAGGTCCTACTGACAGCACATAACAATAACAGTAACAAGAAGAAGCATGGTTTTAAATGCTTTGCATTTATGCGCTTGTTTAGCCCTCATTAGAACCCTTTGAGGTAAGATTTAGTATCCCCATTTTACAGATTACGATTTGAATACAAAGAGGTTAAGTAAATTGCCTAAAGTCATAAAGCCAGTATTCCTAATTTATTCAGATAAAACATACAACTAGCCACCAGAGGGGGTTGGTTCCTATATATTAGGACAGATTCCACAAGACACTGGAAAATGTTGCCTGCAAATTGCTAAGCAAAGGATGCATTCTTACTAGCTTGGACTAGGCTGGTGAGGTACTGCCTTTTCAACTTAAATACTTATATTGTGGGAGTGAGGATGATAATAATGGTTTCAGTGGGACTTTTTTTTTTTTTTTAATTCTAGAAAATGACAAAAGACCATTTGGTAGAAGAGAAAACTTCTCTCCAGAAGAGTCTTCTATACTATGAAAGTCAACATGGAAGACCGGTAATGCCTCTCTTTAAAAAGATTTTAATTGCTATCATAAAAAAGAACATGAATTACTTCCATGCTGTTTTTCAGAGCTATTTTATGAAACTTTGTTTTCTACACTTGGAAAAATGCCTCCTTATTTAACATAAATTTTTAGAAGTTGGGGAAAAATCATATTACTTAATGCTTTGGACATTTAGATTTCTAATGACTAGTTGATTTCCTTTTTTCTTGTTTCAGGTGACCAGGGAAGAAAGGCACATTGTTAAACCTCTCTATGATAGATACAGACTTGTAAAGCAGATGCTGACAAGAGCTAGTATCACTCCTGTCCTTGTAAGTAAATAAGTATGTTTTTTTTAAAAATATGGTGGTATATTGGAGACATATATAGCTGAGGTAGAAGAATTCCTAATTCCATAGTAGTGTAAATAGTCTTTGAAGTTCTTTTTGAAAACCATTTTAGAATTCCACAAGTTTGTCTTTGAAAACTGAGTGTCTAGGAAGCTTTTCTATAGACTCCTAAATATGACCATATACCTTAGAGAAATTTGGAGTTGAAAAGGTTATTGTTAAGCCAAGACAGTTCATTCGGGAAAGAGTAAATTGTCTTTTCAAAAAATGATGGTAGGACAACCAGATATCCACATGCAAAAGAATGAAATTGATCATAATCAACATAAGTCAGATCTTCACTTTTTTCATTCCTTTTCAGTTCTGACACCAGCTGCCCATATACCACCTCTTTCTCTGAACCTAGCCACCCAGATGTAGGTCCCATCAAAACTTAAAAGACACAGTCTTCCAGGCTGCCATATAAACCTCAGACTTCAGACACCCAGCCACAAGCTTGGGCGTCCCCTAATATTATACCCACACTTTTGACTTACTAGCTACAAGTTTGGGATTTTCCCACTATCAGGATGCCAGTTGCAAGCTTGGGGGACCTCCTGTCCTCCCTTACATCTGACCTACAGATTATAAATTTGCGGGTGCCATCTTATCCCCTCAGGATATCACCTATAAGCTCAGGGGTTCTCAGCACTCTCACTTCTGACCTGCTGGCTCACTACTCCCTCAGGTTCAGTAATTTGATAATTCACTGCAGCAACGCAGAGCTCATGGAAAGTGCTATACTTAATAGCTTCCTAATAAAGGATACAAAGCAGGATCGGTGTAAGAAAGAGGCGCATAGGATGAAGGCTGGGAGGGTTCCCAACACTGAGCTGCTTTGGTGTCCATAGCTTTTATTGGATATCTCATTACGTTATACAAACATCAGTCCCTTTCCATTGGGGTCATTCGCTATTTTGAGGTAATCACAAAGCATTGTCAGGTAGGGCTCTCTGGCCTGGCTACCATGAGGTGATCATCAAGAAGTAAGTCTCTGGCCTGGCCAGTCCCATACTACAGAATTGGTTGTCTCTCTGGCATAACCTGTCAGGTCTGGAGTCTTTATGGAGGATACTTTTTTTTAAAAAATTAAATTAAATTTAATTTTGATTTGGATGAAGATTTACAGAGCAAATTCACTTTCTATACAGCAATTCACATGTACTTTGTCTCATGTCATTGACCACAGTTTACCACAATGCAACAGCTCCCCTCCCACTTCCTCCTGATAGTTACCTCTTCCCAGTGTCCATCCCTCCATACTCTCCTGCCCCCTGAGCTGTCTCCCTGTGCATAAGCAGCCCTTCCTTCTCCCATGATTGTTCTCTCCAGGGTGTGTGTCTACTTGAGGTAAATGTTTAACTCTATGGAGGATACTTTCAAACTATTAGAAAAATTCCAAGTTTATTTTTTATTTTTTTAGGGATTATCTTTTAGGAATAGAGGACAAAGACCAAATTTTTTGGGTAAAGTTAATGTAAACTTCATAGACCTGTACATCTTAACATACAAAAATTAAAATGGATCATAGACCTAAATATAAGAGCTAAAACTATGAAACTCTTAGAAGAAAACATAGGAATAAAGTTCTATTATCTTGAATTAGGCAATTATTTCTTAGATAAGACACCAAAAGCACAAGCAATGAAGGAAAAAAGAAATTGGACTTCATTAAAAGTAAGAAAGTAAAATGACAAGCCAAAGAATGAGAGAAGATATTTGTAAATAATATATCTGATAAGGGACTTGTATCCAGAATATATAAAGAACTCTGCTAACAATAAAAAGACAAATAACACAAATAAAAAATGGCAAAAGTTTTTGTGTAGGTACTTCTCCAAAGAAGATATGCAGATGGCCAATAAGCACATGAAAAGATGCTCAACATTGTCAGTTATTAGTGAAATGCAAATCAAACCACACTGAGATACCACATCATACCTACTAACCGGTTGTCTGGTTGACTCCAACTCATGGCAACCCCATGTGTGTTAGAACACAGATAATAACAAGTGGTGGTAAGGATGTGGAGAAATTGAGATTCATACACTGGTGGTGGGAATGTAAAATGATGCTGCTACTTTGAAAAACAGTTTGTCATTTCCTTAAAAAGTTAAACATAGTTACCATAGGAACAGTAATCCTCCACCTAGGTCCAAAAGAATTAAGAACATACTCTACACAAAAACTTGCACTCAAATCTTCAAAGCAGCATTATTCATAAAAACCAAACAATTCAAATGTCCCTCAACTGATGAATGGTTAACCAAAATGTAATATATCCATACAGTGGAATATTACTCAGCCATTAAAAGGAATGAAAGATTGATAAATGCTACACCATGAGTGAACCTGGAAAACACATGCTAAGTGAAAGAAGCCAGACAGAAAAGGACATGTACGATTTCATTTATATGAAATGTCCGGAATAGATAAACTCATAGAGAGTAGATTAGTGTTTGCCAAGGGTTGAGGGGAGAAAGCAAATGGGGAGGGACTAGTAATCACTCCCCAGTGTGGGACTTCTTTGTTGTTGTTTTTTTTTAACTTTTTATTGTGATTTGAGGGAAAGATTACATAGCAAATTGGTTTTCCATTCAGCAGTTTATACAGCTTTGTTTCTTGAAATTGATTGCAGTTTCCACAATATAACAGCACTCTTCCCACTTGCTCTGTTACCACTTCTTTTCACCCTTCTTTCCTTTCCCTTCCTGCCTTCTGAGCTTTTTTATCCCTGGGCAAATGTTGCCCATTTGATTTCATATGGTTGGTGAATTGTGAGGTTTCTTTTTGAGGTGATGAAAATGTTACGGAATTAGATAGTGGTAATAATGGTTGCATAACCTTGTAAATTATATACTAAAACCACTGAAGTATGTGCTTTAAATGGGTGAGTTTCATGATAGGTAAACTGTGCCAATAATGATGTAATTTAAAACAAATAAAGTGTAAAGACATCCGCAGACCAAAGAAGTTGAGAGCTGCTGATAAAAAGAATGCTCCAAATTAAACTATATGTAGTGCTTAATCATTTTGAATTTTAAAAATATTTATTAAACTAGTTCTTTTAGACTTAACTTAAATTATTACCCTATTACCACTCTTGTGCAAACACAGAAAGGGAAATAAATGCAAAAATAAATTTATTAAGTTTTCCCACTGAGTGCTTGAAATACTTACAGTATAAACCATTTGTATTGTTGATTGTTACAGGGCTCTCCATCCACCAAGCGAAGGGGGCAGATGCTACAACCAATCATAGAAGGAGAAACTGCACATTTTTTTGAAGAAATCAAGGTAATCAATTAGAAAAATCATTCTCTGATCTCCTTTTTAAGAGAAATGTTGAAAAGTCATGGCCTGTTTGATTCTCTGCATGGATATCTTCTTAGGAAGAAGAAGAAGATGGTGTTAATCTGTCATCTGAGTTAAGCGATATCTTGAAAACTGCTGTACAGGCTCAGTCTTTTTCAAGTTCATTGGAAAACTCAGAATCTGATATTGAAGAAAATCAAGAAAAACTGGCTCTGGATCTCCGATTGTCAAGTACACGAGCAGCTTCCATGTAAGTATACTGGTTTGTGGTTTTATTTGTATAAGAAAATGTATTATATTTTATATATATATTGTATAATAAAGTTTCTTATAACAAGAGATTCAGTGTTAAATAACTGAGCAGTTGGGGAAAATTAATACAGTGCTCAGCAGATAATACTTTTTTTAAAAGTTTGATTTTCAAATACCTGTTGTCATTCCCATTTCCTTTATAACTAAAACCAAAAAACCAAACTCATTGCCATCGAGTCGATTTGACTCATACCAACCCCTCCTTGGGTTTTGGAGGCATTTTCTCTACAGAAGTAGATTGCCCAGTCTTCCTTCCAAGGACTGGCTGGTGGGTTTGAACTACCAGCCTTCTGGTTAACAGTCATATGCCTTAGGCATTACACCACCAGAGAGCTCCCTCCTTTATAACTAGTGTTTAAATTTTTTTTAAAATCTAAAGTCCTACATTTAATTACTGACAAAATGCAATAAGCAACTGAAAATTTATATGCTAGTTTTCTCTATATCAGCTTCTCTACCTATATATGATATATGACAATGGTTCTTTAACTCTGGCTGCATACTATAGTCAGTACTGTCAGTAGAGAAGACTTTTTTTTTTTAAGCACTAATGCTGAGTGCTGCTTTCAGCATTTAATTGCTCTGTGGTGGAGCTTAGACATTGGACTGGTCTGAAAGTTCCCCAGCAGATTTTAATTTGCTGCCAGAATATAATGAATCAGTAGTGCCCTTTCAATATTTTCCTCCCTTTTTACTTTTAGGCCTGAATTATTGGAACAACTTTGGAAGGCTAGAGCTGAGAAAAAGAAACTACGTAAAACATTACGAGAATTTGAAGAAGCATTTTATCAACAAAATGGAAGGTTTGTTGGGCATCATAGAATTGAATTGTCATTGTCTCTTAAGTTTATAAGTGCCCATATGTTAAAATAATGGAATATATAGGATTAGGCGTAAGTTCTGCGTATTAAGGATGTTGTCTTGAAAATACAGTTTTAAAAAATTCTTATGTATTCTGAAACTCTATTTTTAATGTCCAGGAAAAGTCAGAGCTGGATGTTTTTAATCTAATAGAGTATTTCTGGGCTGTCCTAGGGAGGCTTAATTGTATGACAATGATTTTATGTTTTTTCCCCTCTATATTTTTTCACCCTTACAGGGAGGTTGTAAAACAAGATGTTACTTCCATTTAGAAAGGGTCTTATGTATCTTCAGTTATTTTGGATTCTTAATTTTTTATACTAATCAACGCTCCTTCGGCTACATTTGGGTTATTCCAGAGTCCCCATTTTTAGGATGCATAAGAACAATGTGGCAGTCATATGGCCTTCATAATGTGCTATGTCCCTTTATCTAGTAATTAGTTGACCCAGCTGAGCTTTTTTTTGGTAATAAAATACATAAAATGAAACATTTGACAGTTTAATCATTTCTGTATCTACAGTTTAATGACATTAATTACATAGACCATGTTGTGCACCATTACCACTATTTCTAAAAGTTTTTCATTACACCCCAAATAAAAACTCAATAGCCCTTATCCAGCAACTCATCATTTCTTCCTCATTTGAGCCCCTGGTAATTACTAGTAAACTTTATTTTATTATAGTAAAATATATATAACAAAGCATTTGCTGTTTAAACCTTTTTTTAAAAAAAAAGAAAAAAACTTTAAATTGTGATTTGAGTGAAAGTTTACAGAGTTTTGTTTTTCATTCAGCAGTTTTATTAACATCGATTAATCCCCACAACAGAACAGCTCTCTTCCTACTTCCTCTCTCCATTACCTTTTTTCTGTGTCTGTCTTTCCTATGCAAATGCTGCCCTTCTGATAGCTCATGGTTGGTTGTTCTAAGGAGTGCACCTCCCTGATGTAAATGTTCACTTGGTAGTCCTATTGTTTGGCTGAAAGTTGAGCCTCAGGAGAGAGTTCAGTTCTAGGCCTAAAGGGTGACTACGGGTTATAGTCTCAGGGGCTCCACCAGTTTGTGTCAGTCTAGTAAGTGTGCTCTTTTTTATGATTTTGAGTTTTGTTCCACATTTTTCTCCCACTCCATCCAGGATCTCCAATTTTGATCCCTTTGAGAGTGGTTGTTCAACCGTATTTATGTGTACAAGTCAGTGATATTAATTACATTCACCATGATGTGAAACCATCACTATGTGTCTTTCATCACCCTTAATAGAAACTCGGTACTCTTTAAGCAATAACTTCCTCTTTTTCCCTTCCACCTGCCCTGATAACCACTAATAAATTTTTCCTCTATGCATTTGCCTATTTTAAATATCTCATGTAAATGGGATCATACAAAGTTTGTCCTTTTGTGTCTGACTTATTTCACTTCATATAATGTTTTCAAAGTTCATCCATGTGTCAGAACTTTATTTCTTTTTATAGTGGAATAGTATTCCATTGTGTGTATATACAGTACCATATTTTGTTTATTCATTCATCTGTTGATGGAAACTTGGGTTGTTTCCAGCTTTGGGCTATTGTAAAGTACTAAAACAAACCAAACTCACTGCCATTGAGTTGATTCTGACTCATAATGACCCCCATTGGGTTTCTGAGGCGGTAAATCTTTACGGAAGTCATTGCTCCATCTTTCTATCACGGAGCAGCTGGTTAGCATTCAGATTCTTTTAGGTACTATGCCACTATATCTGCTTCTAAAATTAAGAAAAATACATTCCAGTCAAATGGTGCCAGGAATGAGGCTTAAATGATCTCAGGCCTCAGAAAGTTTTTTCAAAATGTGGTAGTTTTACCAAGCTAACAGCTGTATTACAAAGTCCTAAATGTGTTTAATTTAAAAAAAAAAAAAAAATCAATTATTTTCCTCTACTCTTAGTCTCTTGTGTACCAATACCAAACCAAACCCACTGCCATCAAGTTGATTCTGTCTCATAATGACCATATTAGATGAGTAGAATTGCCCCAGAGGGTTTCCAAGGCTATGAATCTTTAGAGAAGCAGACTGCCTCACTCTTGCAGAGTGGCTGGTGCGTTCAAACTGCCAACCTTTTGGTTAGCACCTGAATGCTTTAAGCACTGCACCACCAGCGATCCTTAGTCCCCTCTGTAGACCAAACCAAACTCATTGCTATTGAGTTTATTCCAACTCATTATGATCCCTGTTGGGTTTCCAAGGCTGTAAATCTTTACAGTAGCAGACTGCCTCATCTTTCTTCTGTGGAGCAGCTGGTGAGTTGGAACCACTGACCTTTTGCTTAGGAGACAAATGCTTTAACCAGTACACCACCAGAGCTCCTCTAGTCTCCTCTGTAGGCTGGCATACACGTTTAAGAAAATCTCAAGAGCAGGAATGCATTTTCTGAGTACCTTCTTGTCTTTGTCTTATTGGAAGAAAATTTTGCTCATAATTATAGTTAGAATGATTTGATGATTTACCCTGATTAAATTGGATTGCTTTGGGTCATTATTAATATGGGAAAACTGTTCTTTTGCTAGATTGGAGTAAGATGTTTTACATCTCAGTTAATCAGAGCTGCAATTAACCAAATATATTAAATGACCGAGTATAGACCTCCAGCATTTAATATTCATTTACAGACCTGGCAGAGTCTAGCAATGTATGTCTTTTTAAGATATTTTGGTTGCCTGTAGTTATCTACCTTGATCATTGCTAAGAAGTACAACACTATTTAATGTTATATATAGAGGAATCCATCAAAAATAGGAGTGTGTTATGACTCCTCCTTGGAGATGGGGGTATTAATCCAATCACTTTTTTTTTTTTTTTTTTTTTTAGTGAACCCTGATTTTTTTTTTCTGTAGAGCAGCTTTTATTTTAACTTATATTTGATTACTTGGTGTCTTATATTAGGACTTGTGGGTCTTTATCTTCCAGATAATTTCTAGAATATTAAAAATTTTTTTTTTTTCCTTCCTTAGGAATGCCCAGAAAGAGGATCGTGTTCCAGTGCTTGAGGAGTACAAGGAGTACAAAAAAATTAAAGCCAAGCTTAGGCTTCTTGAAGTTCTTATCAGCAAACAAGATTCTTCAAAGTCCATATAAAACATCATAAAATCAGTTGTATTCCCTGAAGCTTCCGTCATATGTTCTTGGCTGGTACTTGATTTCATTTTGTCAGGCACTCAGAGAATTTCATTTTGTACTTGGTTGTGGTGCCACTAAAGAAATGATGGGAGGGTAAGTAGGCCCTCTAGAGGGATCTTAAGTGATGTTCCATATTAACCACAGACTGTCCTCTCCATCTTTAGTAAAAATGCAGTTTCCTTCATTGTTTTGTACTACAGATACACCCTGTTCCCAAAAGACTAGAATTTTATCCTTTCAACGTCAAGAACTTTGGAAATACAAGTTTTTTGTTATTACCAACTTTATTATTATTTTTTCATTACTGAAGAAAATTGAGAGGAATATCTTCACACCACACTGGAGTCTTCAGTTGCCTTTTGCTTACAGAATGACTGAAAATTTGAAAGAAAAGCTTATGAAAGTATACAAATGCAACTGTGTCTATCTTTTCCTATAAAACCAAAATCAGACTGAAACTTCAAGTTTTACTGTGGAACTACCTTTCTGTTCAGTTCCCAAAATGACACTTTCTCACAGGTAGTACATTAGCAAAGTCTCCTAATTCATTGGTCACACAGCTTCTGGATGATGATAGCAGTAGGTAGACCAAAAAGTGACCTTGTTTAGTATATTGAAAATATACACCACACATCACACACACAACTAAATCATATCACGTGCTGCCTATGGGACTTAAGTTACTGTTTGTTTTCTCAGTTACTGTCTATCAACTGGTGATGATGTGATTTGTCAGGATCAGATCTGCATTGTTCCCCCACTTGTCTCCAGATAATGTGAGAAATCAGCCTTGTCAGTATGTAGGAAGTGTTGGTGCTCAGACATGTATGTTCAATCACCTGGGCCTAAATTGGCAAAATAATCGTATGCCTAAAGTAAATTTGTTCTTAACAAGGGCTAAAACCACTGCATTTTTTACATATATCTTCAGGGGGTTGCATTGTTGTTTCTTTTAATCAGCAAAATCCATACAAAATACCCTCTTTGCTCAGTCACATGCTGTTTAAAGCAGCTGGTTACAGGACGTGTAGTGATGTGCCCTTTGATGTATACTTTAAGCATAGCTCTTTTTTTGTTGGCTTTGCATGGCTTTCTTCAGGTATTCTATTAATATCATTCTGTTAGTTATTTTCACAGAATGGTGACTTTATTTATGCTAACAATACAACAGTTATTAATAGCAGATTCTGGTCAGGCTTAATCGAAGTGTTAATTTTTTTTTCCTGGTGCTTTTTTGGATTGATGAGTGTCTTCTTTTGACTGTGGCCATGTTTTGCATGCAGTGACTCATGCACGGTTTCCTTACTAGCTGATATTAACAGTTTGTTCCATACAAAAGCAGACTTTTGCAACATCCTTTAATAAGGTGAGGGAAGCATGAACCTCAGATTTCTGGCACTATTATATAGAAAGCACATGAACTAGCTTGAAAATCAATAGTATTTTTAGTATTTCACATTTCACCTGTGTGTGCAATGCCTTTTTTGGGGGGGAGGGAAAATCCAGTGGTAGTGAAGTATAGTTGGGGAATATAACAAGCACTAAATCTAGCCCTTTTTGCATGGTTTCCTTTTGATACAGCTAGGTTATTCATACATTATACTTTGAAAAGTAAAATTAAAAATACCAGAAGATGTATCACTTTGATTTGAATCCATCATGCAGTGTACATTTCAGTTAATTTCTTTTAGTCTTCAGACAGGAGTGATGTATCCAAACATTGAATTTAATGTGCACTGTATATTGTTTTATATGAATGTGTTTTATATACCACATGCAAAAATGTCCATATGCACTATTTAAATGTTTTAAATAATATATTCCTTCTCTATAATGCTTAAATCTATATGAGTACCATATTTTTATAAGTCAGTGGCCTGACTGGTTTCATTTTAAAATTAACAGCTGCTTCATGATGTTTGTTATTCAATGTTAATGTTTGGCTGTTTAAGTAGAATAGATAAAAGTGGCATGGCAGCACTTATGCTGTGTGAGAGTATTGTATGTCATAGTTGAACATAGTGGTAGAATTAGGCAGTTTGTGTAGTTTTCCTTTCAGTACAAGTCAAAACTGTGTATCTATATAAATAATATATAGATATATACATCCACCAGTGTAATTGCATTGCTGTGTCTGGCACTTCATTGTATAGACTTTTGTAATAAAAGAACTTACTCTTTAATGTTCTTAGTCATTGTAAATGTTTTTTATTTGTTTTTTCCACTGTTGTTGTTGGTAGGTGCTGTCAGGTTGTCTCTGACTCATAGTAACCCTATGTATAACAAAAACACTGCCCGGTCCTGTGCCATCCTCATGATCCTTGCATACCTGAGCCCATCGTGGCAGCCACCATGTCAGTCCATCTCGTTGAGAGCCTTCCCCTTTTTCCTTGACCCTCCACTGTATCAAGCATGACATCCTTTTCTAGGAAAAGCTTCCATCTGATAACATGACCAGTAGATGAGACAAAGTCTGGCCGTTCTTGCTTCCAAGGAGTGTTCTACGTGCACTTCTTCCAGGACAGATTTTTTAGTTCTTTAGATGTCCATAGTACTTTCAGTATTCTTCTCCAACAATACAATTCAAAAGCATAAACTCTTTTTTGGTCTTCCTTATTCGTTGTCTAGCTCTCACATGCATATGAGGCAATTGAAAATACCATGGCTTGGGTTAGGTGCACCTTAGTTTTCAAGGAGACATCTTTGCTCTTCAGCACTTGAAAGAAGTCTTTTGCAGCAGATTTGCCCAATGCAATACATTGTTTGATGTTTTGACTGCTACTTCCATTGGTGTTGAATGTAGAAGCAAGCAGTGTGAAGTCTTTGACAACCTCAGTCTTTTCTCCATTCATCATGATGCTGCTTATTGGTCCAGTTGTGAGGAGTTTTGTTTTCTTTATGTTGAGGTGTAATCTATACTGCAGACTGTAGTTTTAACTCTTCATCAGTGAGTGCTTCAAGTCATCCTCACTTTCAGCAAGCGAAGTTGTGTCATCTGCGTATCACAGGTTGTTAATGAGCCTTCCTCCAATCCTGATACCACTCTCTTCTTACAGTCCAGCTTCTCAGGTAATTTGCTTAGCATACAGACTGAATAAATATGGTGAAAGGATACAACCCTGACTCACTCCCTTTCTGATTTTACACCATACAGTATCCCCTTGTTCTGTTCAAATGACAGCTTCCTGGTCTATGTACAGGTTCCTCATGAGTATAATTAAGTGTTCTGGAATTCCTTTCTTCTCAATGTTATCTGTAATTTGTTAAGGTCCACACAATCAAGTGCTTTTGCATAGTCAATAAAACACAAGTAAACATCCTTCTGGTATTCTTTGCTTTCAGCCAAGATCCCTCTTCAGTTCTTTCAGCTTGAGAAATGCCAAGTGTTCTTCCCTTTTGGTTTTCTAACTCCAGGTCTTTGCACATTTCATTATAATTGACTTTGTCTTCTCAAGCTGCTCTTTGAAATCTTCTGTTCAGCTCTTTTATCTTGTCATTTCTTTCATTTGCTTTAGCTACTCTCCATTCAAGGGCAAGATTCATAGTCTCTTCTGACATCCATTTTGGTCTTCCTTTCTTGTCTTTTTAATGATCTTTTGCTTTCTTAATGGATGATGTTCTTGATGTCATCCCACAATTCCTCTGGTTTTTGGTCATTGGAGTTCAATGGATCAAATCTGTTCTTTAAATGGCCTCGAAATTCAGGTGGAATATAATCAAGGTCATATTTTGGCTCTCGTGGATTTGTTTTAATTGTCTTCAACTTCAACTTGAATGTGCATATGAGCAACTGATTTTCTGTTCCATAATCAGCTCCTGGCCTTGGTTTTGCTAAAGATACTAAGCTTCTCCATTGCTTCTTGCCACAGATGTCAGTTTGATTCCTGTGTACTCCATCTGGCAAAGTCCACATGCATGGCCATCATTAATGTTGTTGAAAAAAGTTAACTTGCAATGAATAAGTTGTTGGTCTTGCAGAATCCTGTCATGCAATCTTGAGTGTTATTTCTATCACCAAGGTCATTTTTTCCCACTACTTGTAATTCTTGTTTCTGACTATTGCATTCCACTCACCAGTGATAATTAACACATCTTGATTGCATGTTCAGTCAGTTTCAGACTGCAGAAGTTGATAAAAAAATCTTCTCAATTTCCTCATCTTTGGCTTTGGTGATAGGTGTGTAAATTTGAATAATAGTAGTAGTAACTGGTCTTCCTTGTAGGCATATGGATATTATCCTATCACTGACAGCACTGTACTTCAGGATAGATCTTGAAACATTCTTTGTGATGATGAGTGCCATGCCATTCCTCTTCAATTTGTCATTTCCAGCATAGTAGATCATATGGTTGTCTGATTCAAAATGGCCAAAACCAGTCCATTTCAGCCCACTAATGCCTAAGATACCGATATTTATGCGTTCTATTTCATTTTTGACAACTTGCAATTTTCCTAGATTCTTATTTCGTACATTCCATGTTCTAATTATTAATGGATATTTGCAGCCGTTTCTTCTCATTTTGAGTTATGCCACTTCAACAAATAGAGGTCCCAGAAGCTTTACTATGTCTACATCATTAATGTCGGCTCTGCTCTGAAGAGGCAGCTCTTCTCCAGTCAAATCTTGATTGCTTTCCAACCTGAGGGCCTCATCTTCTGGCACTATATTGGACAATGTTTTAGGGCTATTCATAAGTTTTTCAGTATATCAAACAGTGCTATTCATAAGGTTTTCACTGGCCAATTGTTTGAGAAGTGGATGGCCTCTTCCTTCTTCCAAGTCTGTTTTATTCTGGAAGCTCCACTGAAACTTGCCCACCATGGGTAAGCTTGCTGGCATTTGAAACACCGGTGGCATGGCCTCCAGCCTCACAGCAACACGCAAGCCACCACAGTATGACAAACTGACAGACAAGTTCATCTCCCTTAGCTGTTCCAAACCACTAGACGTTAAAAAAAAGAAAAATGGAGACCTTAAGTGTTCCCTTGACATAATGTTCTTAAGCTCTGTTTGAATTACCTCAACCAAGGACCTTGGCTAGGTGACAACATGATTACTAAACCATTTGGGGACTAGCTGCAGCTCTGGGGAGTGGTAAGGCCAAGAAAGACCATCTTGTTGATTCTTTTGTGGCTATCTAGGGAGAAGATTTAGTGGACAATCAGCATGTCTTCTTGTAATGAATTATCTTATTAAGAAAACTTGATGTACAGTCCCTAAGACAGAACCTTGGCATATTGAAGGTGAGTGGTGATTAAAAAATGCCTCTGAGTTTTAAAATCCAGGTACTAGTAAGCATTAATATGGATGTTGAAGGCTATGGTCGGGTGATATTGCTTGAATTAAGAAAACATGGCTATTCTAGGAGGGCATGTGAAGCCTGGAAATATTTGAAGTTTTCCTCTAATTTCCAAAAACTACTTTCCAACTAACTGAAAAGGACACTTGCAGCACCGTCATTTACCCTTTTCAGCTATAACTTAATCCCTAATCTTTTTGTTTTTTAAAAAAAGAAAGCACATTTGGGAAATTTTAAATGTGCCACTACAGAAACGGAATTTCCAGTTTGAAGATCGTAGTTAAGTTGGGGACTTTGTTGTATACTTCGTCTTTTTCCAGGACACTTAGAATTACAAAGATTAGAAGTGAAATTATTTTGTGTTAAGTCATATATATAGTGGTTTTCCAGAATCTTAAGCATTTATTAATTTATCAACTGCTGAAGGAAGTTAAAATGTGATATAGGATACACTGGAGGGCATTAGCAGTTCTTTTATATCCTGTGTAACTATGAGGAAACAGTCTTTCTCACCCTACCTACTGAATGATTAACTGGAAAGAGAGCTGTCTCATAACTATAAGCATTATTTTTATACTTCCCCTTCACATTTCTAGAATTTAATAATCTCATTATTGAATCCTTTATTTGTCAGTGTGTGCATACTCTGGAAGTATGTTGTAATATGCATGGATTGCATAGTGGTTCCTACTCAGGCTTGTTTAATTCCTGGTACTTGTTTGATTATCATTGATCCTGAGGATGGTGTGGTGTTGATGGGTGGTTTAGTGCCTTAAAGTATGCCTGAAATAAGGATCAATTTAGGAAATAATTCAATATATAAATACATCTTTTTAGAAATGTTCAGTGATTGCATTACAGATTCTCACCTTCACATTTCTCAATTTTGTAGAGCTGAAAACTTTCTCATCACTCGGTTTAGTTTTAAACTGATATAGTGTAATTCCTTCTCCAGTTCCACTGCATATAAAAAGAGTCTAGAAGGTAATTTAGAAGGAAGTAGAGAATGCATTAGTAATACACTTAACTTTCTTGCATAAAGAGGAACAACAGGTTATTGGTGCCTGTTGTTAAATGCCTTGAGTAGAAAGATAGTATGGCCAGTTACGGATCTAATATTCTAAATCTGTGGAGCATAGTATGTGCTCTACACATCAAATATAAACAGTAGTTCCTTAGAGATGTAAGAATAAAACAGTTGGTCTGTTTATTACCCTATATTTAATAGAATGCAATTTTCTGCTTTTCCGTTTAATTTTTAAATTGGGGGGAAAAAAGTTGGATCTCAACAGAATAAGGTTCTGGATTCAGGAAATTACCCCAAACTCCGCCATTATTATATCTCATAATACCCTGGTTAGAACAAATGCTTACTCTCGAAATTCTTGTTGAGTGACAGGCTGGTAGTCATCTTCAATTTCTGTAGAATAATACTTTTGCTCAAGCCTCTCTTTCCACTTTTTCATCTGTGCTGCCCTTTGAATCTCCTGTCAAGTTACAGGGAAAGAATAGACTGTAACCTTTAAAATGTCTTTATCTCAAGTATTTGGCACACAAACATCACAGCATTTTAAACTATTTTCTACATTCCAGGCCTCTTACTTTGAACTCTGCTGGCTTTTGGCTGTGCCTAGTTTTTGTTGTTGTTAGGTGCCATTGTGTCAATTCCAACTCATACTGACCCTATGCACAACTGCCCAGCCCTGCACTATCCTCACAGTTGTTCTTGTGTTTGAGCTCATTTTTGTAGCTACTGTATCTGTCCATCTCATTGAGGATCTTCCTCTTTTTCACTGACCTTCTGCCAAGCATGATGTTCTTCTCCAGGAACAAGTCCTTCCTGATAACAGGTCCAAAGTACATGAGACAAAGTCTTGCCATCCTCACTTCTAAGGAGATTGTGGTTGTCTTCTTCCAAGACAGATTTGTTTGTTCTTCTAGCAGTCCATGGTATAATCAATATTCTTGGTCAGCACCATAATACAAATGCATCAATTGTTCTTTGGTCTTCATTCATTGTCCAGCTTTCACATGCATGTGAGCAATTGAAAATACCATGGCGTGATCAGGTGATCGTCTGTGTTTTTTTCACATTTCAAAGAGGTCTTGATCTTTTACAGCAGATTTTCCCAGTCCAATGTCCTTGATTTCTTGACTGCTGCACTTCAGTCTTTTCTCCATTTATCATGATGTTGCTTATTAGTCCAGTTATGAGTAGTTTTTTTTCTTCATGATGAAGTGTAATCCATACTGACGGCTGCAGTCTTTGTTTTTCATAAGTGCTTCAAGTCCTCTTCACTTTCAACAAGCAAGGTTGTGTCATGTGAGTATCACAGGTTGTTAGTGAGTCTTCCTTCAGTCCTGATGCTATGTTCTTCATATAGTCCAGCTTCTTGGATTATTTGCTCAGCAAACAGATTGAATAAGTGTGGTGAAAGGATTTAACCCTGATGTACACTGTTCCTGATTTGAAACCAAACAGTATCCCCTTTTTCTTTTTGAATGATTGCCTCTTGGTCTATGTATAGGTTCCTTATGACCACAATTAAGTGCTGGAATTCTGGAATTCCCATTCTTCACAATGTTATCCATAATTTGTTAGGATCCACACATTCGAACAAATGCTTTTGGATAGTCCTTAAAACACTGGTAAATATCTTTGTGGTATTCTCTGCTTTCAGCTAATATCTATCTGGCATCAGTAATGATACCCCTCATTCCATGTCCTCTTCTGAATCTGCTGTGAATTTCTGGTAGTTACCTATAGATGTGCTGATGCAACCATTCCTGAATTACCTTCAGCATAACTTGCATATTGTTTGATAATTTCCACATTCTTTTGGATCATCTTTCTTTCAGTTGGCCAGGTATCTGTCTCCCAAATTTCTTGGCATAGATGATTGAATGCTTCCAATGCTGCTTCTGCTTGTTGAGATGAGATACGTTAATCGGTACTGCTATCCCATGCTTTAAGCCCAAAGACCTATATTCATATCTAAAAGGATTTTCACTTTTACCAAAAAAAAAAAGGCAAAAAGCAAAACTAGCATTTACCATTTGTTTTGCAGCAAGCCTTTAAAGAGGTAGTGCACAACCCAAGAAGTGAGAATGGTGTCACCAAGCTGCTTCCCTGGGAACTACACTCAGCATCAAGCTATCGTAGCTTTGAACTTTGTCTGTGAACAGTGTATGTTATTGTTATTTTAGGTTTTTGTGTTAACTTGCTGTGATTATTTTTTTGGTCTGAACGCTCAAAAATTTTTCCCACATTAATTAATTTTGCTCACGAAAGATTTTACAGGAACACTCTACTTTCGCATAGTGCGGCAAAGCTGTATTCCATTAATTCTTGGAGCCTTGTTTTTCACCAGTACATCAGTGTAGCTTGGACTTCCTTGGTACCATCAGTTCTTGATCATTTACTAACTACTTCCTGAAACGTTTGAACATCACCCAGTTTTCCTAGATTCATACTTAGTACATTCCACATTCTGATTACTAATGGATGTTTGTAGCTGTTTCTTCTCATTTTGAGTTGTGCCATATTAGCAAATGAAGGTTCTAGAGCTTTACTCTCTCCACTTCATTAAGGCCGATTCTACTTTGAGGAAGAAGCTCTCACTCAGTCTTACTTTGAGTGCCTTCTAACTTGATGGGCTCATCTTCCAGCACTTTATCAGACAGTGTTATGCTGCTAATCATAAAGTTTTCATTGGCCGGTTTTTTTGGAGGTAGATTGCCAGGTTCTTTTTCTGATTTAGTCTGGAAGCTCCACTAAAACCTGTCCACCATGGGTGACCCTACTGGTGTTTGAAATACTGATGGCATAGCTTCTAGCATCATAGCAACACATAAGCCACCACAGTATGACAAACTGATAGATGACTCTTAGGAATTTGAGACTACTCCTTGGCTATTTCAAGTGTTACTGAGCCAGCAGGAAAAAAATGCCTGATGTACACAGTCTAAGACAGGAGCTTGGCCTGTTGAAGGTGGACAGTGATCTAGCTACTAGCATCGGTGGCCAAGTGATAATGCTTTGTCTAAGGGAAAATGTGGCTATTCTAGGAGGACATACAACTTTAAAATTAGTGTGTAGTCGTTACTCGATTGGGGTGATTGATCCCAATTACCAAGGGGAAGTTGAGTTGCTGCCACAAAATGGGACCAGGAAGACTATATTTGGAACCCAGAGAATTTTCTGGAGTACATTTAATAGTTCCATGTCCAAAAATAAAAGTTAATGGGAAACCACAGGATCTTATTAGAGGCAGGACCACTGAGGATTCAGATTTGGAACTAATAAAGATTGAGTAACCCAAAAGCAACCAGTTGAGGTTTTGGCTGTGGGCAAAGGGAATGATGTGGAATGGGTAAAAGAAAAGTTATAAATAACTAGTCTGTAATAGAAACAAGCACTGTAACAGCTGTGTATATGTGTATTATTTTATCTAAGGAATGTTAGTAGTGGTGAACTTTGTAGTTAGATATTAAACTACAAAATAATCTTAGGGAATTGTGATTTAGCTAGAAGATATCTTAACATTACTCAGAGACACATGCAATTACTATTGGGACTTTGCCTCCCCTTTTATGGAGAGGATAAGAGTGTCTTCATTTGTATCAGAATAGGTCCATCCATCTTATTAGATGGAAGCTTGAAATAGTTATTTTATGGAGGCTCAGATGTGTTCTAAATAGCCAAAAAGATGAATTGGGCAGACTACTTGCTTAAAGTCTCTCAACTCAAAATTTATGCTGTGATATTCTGCCTATGATGCTGGGTCTCAGTTTTTGCAAACCACATTCCCTTAATTTCTTTGCAAGTTGAATTTCTGTCTGATTCTGCCAGTGTTGGTGGATAGAGGAGAAAAGGATCTTGTTTTTTCCTGTTTCTGTTGGCATTATGTTCAACAGAAGTGGTTGGCTGCAGGCTGTAGCTTCTTTTGGCATACACAGACCAACCTCCTCCTCATACTCCCTCAGAAGTATGGGGGAGGGGAGTGGCACTTAGAGGTCTGAGCAAAAGGTCCACAAGCCCCGTCTCCAAGATTGTATGTTCTGTTAATGCCACTTTTGTAACCTTACCCCTGAGAACGGTAGTCAACTTATTCAAGTTGTTATTTATGAGTTGCCTCAGTGTTCTCCTTTTGCCTTTTCTGTTCCCGAACACCTGTGTGATCAGTTCCTTGTAGTAAATTCTCCTTGCTTGAAACATACGTGGTTTGTGTTTTCTTAACTAGGCCCTGACTGATACATGTAGTATGTCTTTTCATTTGGTCAGGTGTTTTCAAGGAATATTTTAGCTTTTTTCTTATGTTAGTTTTGAATATTTGTGGCATTTTCTACTTTGTTGCTAATATAGTCTTCTATTATAATTTTTAACAAACTAGTGGATGTTTGCATTTTTTTTTCTTTTTTTTTTTTTTT